AGCTTACAAATTCCATGTAAACAATCTGGGCTTAGTGCTGATTCATAGTCCGTTAGATCAAACCAGGTAGAGCAATCTGTTAGGTCAAAGAGGAACACAGAATGAGACTTTAATTCTTTCCAACTCTATAATGACTAGGAGCGTGTAAGGAACCAGTAAAAGGATTTTGAGTTATGAGATTTAAGGTAAGAAACTGTCCCTGTAGCACAATGACAAAAATCATAGTTCAGCGTGAAACTAGTGCTGGTGTAAAAATGGCAGCATGTTTTTCAGAGGATTTTTCAAAAAGTGAATAAGGAAGATGAGTACATTGAAAGCAAGCTTTCAATGTAGAGCACTCAGGGTTCCACAGAGTAAAAATGCATGAAGGACTTTCATAGCTAGAGAGGTTAATTTAGCACCTGAATTTAAAGGTCAGAATAACACCCACATTAGGACTAAAGAATTAATAGAGCTGGCGACTTCACACTGAAGCCAAGGGTCACATACCATCCTGAGATTCCTAGGGAGATTATGAATTTTAATTTTACTGTCCCTGTGTTCTATAAATGGATTAAGACATGCTGAGTGGTAGCACATGTGTTTAGAAAATAGTTTATTGAAGTTTTTAAACTCACAGTAAAGGTCAGCTATAAAAAGAAAAGCTAGTCCTTTGAGAGTATTATTGCTCAATGACAATGCACCTGTTCAGCCAAGAGCCGATAGTGAAAGGTAATTTTCTGTCCACTATCTATGTATTTATACACCCGTACTGGAGGACATGAAAAAATGTAAATTTGGTGCCCAGGAACAATTGTTTCATAAGTCTACAGCTGACAGGCTACATTTTGTCCAATGCTCTCAGTCAATTGAAGTTCTGGAAAGGATTCACCACAGATATGTGGCTTCTGCCACAGGAGGCGCCGCTTCACAGAAATTAGTTTATTAGGAGGAATACGCTATTCTGTTGCTGAAGAGGCTTTGAAGAATGTTGGAATGGCAACAAAGAACGTAAGCAATCAGCGTCTTAAGCTTAGTCAGTAAAAGGGTGAAAAGTTTTGCTTGGATTGATGTTAATTTTGAGAAGATTCTACTGTGAATCAAGGGCTATCAAATAGCCTTGCTTTCTGCCCAGAAATCCTCTGTTAAAGAAAACATCAATCATTGTGGCAAACTTTGCTGCCCTCTATTTTAAGACATTGACTTTGCCACCCAACTTTCTAAAACCACCATACTGCTCAGTTAACAGCCATCAAGATAGGTTCTTGTGCCAGCAAAAATTTCTGTGCAGGCTCGTGATTGTTAGTGTACTTTAGCAATAAAGCATTTTAATTAAGATATAGATTTAATTTAATTAGGGTATAATTCACAGGCAAAAAAATGTATTACATACATAATTAACTGAAATATAATATAAACATAAATGTCACGTACTTTGGGAAAGCAAGGAAAAAGACATACACTCTGTGTGTTGGCATTCACCTTATTGGAATAATCAAGAATTGAAGCTGCATCATCTTTGAGGTATGTTTACTATCTTGGCACATTAACTCAGACCCCCATGTATCTGTAAACTTAATATAATTACAGTGACTCATTTTGCAAATAATATTAATGGTTGTGTGGATTCCTTTTAAAAATACGATTCCAAAATGAGTTTTTTCTGGATGTGTCATATCCCAATTTCATTTACTATGTTTTGATTAATTCTGATGAAATCTTGCAATCTTAACTGGATAACAGGTAACATATTGAGAATCAGCAGTTTCTAACAATACAAAAATAAAGAGATCCACTTAAGTAAAATCTGATATCTTATGTTTAGCCATTGCTACATGATTAATTTACAACCTGTTAAAAACAAACAAAAAAAAACCACCAAAAAACTGTGATTTAAACTGAACTATTCTCTCATGGTGTCTGCGGATCATGAGAATGCACATAGTTTACCTGGGTATCCGGGACTCAGTATCATTTTGTGAAGTTGTTATTAGTATAACAAGAAAGGAGCCAGGTGGTGATGGAACATGCCTTTAATGCCAGCACTCAGGAGGCAGAGGCAGGAAGATTTCTGTTAGTTTGAGGCCAACCTGGTCTACAAGATCTAGTTCTAGATCAAGCTCCAAAGTTGAAAAAGAAAAAAAACAAGAAAGGAATCCAGTCTATTTTCAAGAATCAGTTTAGGAGGCTCCTCGTTAAATTGCCAATTATATGTAGCCTTCAGACCTTAGGATGCTAATGCTTTGCAGGCTGTTATCCAGAGGATGCCTTTGGGTTTGGGAGTGAATATCTATCTCTACTGAGCTGTCCTATATCATGGAGCTAGTTTCCTTCAAAGCAAGTAAGAGATAACAGAGAGAGAAAATGAATGCTGAAAACATTTATAAAGTACTCACCAAAGTGGCTTTACATTGTTTTGATTTATTTTAATTATCATAACTAAGCCCCTACCCCAGAAAAGAGAATTGCAGAAGAATATTCATATTAGGTTTAGCTTATAGGAGCAATTTAAAGGCTGTCTGCCAGACTGGTACAATTGTGGGTTTGTTAGATGCTTTATCAAAATTGATTGAGAAAAGAATTTTCCAAACAAACACCCTATTTGCTATGGTTTAAAGGTTAACGTATATGTAGATGATGTATGTATATAGCTTGATTTCTGTTGCTGGGATAAAACACCCTGACAAACTCATTGCAGGAAGATAGGACTTATTTTAGTTCACAAGTTTAGATTATTTTCCAGCCCTGTAAGGAAGCGACAAGATCAGAATCTTGAGACAGCCCGTCACATGACACCCACAATATCAAGCAGAGAGAAAAATATCCATATATGCTGATTTTCTTTTTGTTTATAATCAGTTCAGTTTCTCTACTCTTATCCTTACAGTTTAGAATCCCTGGCTAAGCAAGTGTCCCCTCACAGTAGGCTGGGTCATCCTATATCAATTAACTTCTTTAAGATAACCACCTAATAGACACACCTACAGGCCAATCTGATCAAGACGGTCCCTCATTGAGACTTTTATCCCAGGTGACTCTAAGTGATGTCAAACTGACAACTAAAATTAATCATCACGTTGCATATATATATATATATATATATTAACATTTCTGTGTCTCCTAGTGAGCTACTTTTTAATGAACTAATTTTTAGTGAGATAATTCTTAATTAATTGAAGGAACCCCTGAAATCCTAAAGAAACTTTATTGCATTAAAATCACTAAATATGGTAGAAGTTTGATAAATAAAAAATATGTGAGCTAGAAGCTTCACACTGTCTCAGAAAATTAGAGGTAAAATACAGAATACATTTATGAATAAGTCCTTTGATTTTGCTGAGAATTAAACAAGGTTCTGCCTCTGGAAATCTTATTTCACTGTGAAGGCACAGAGAGGAAAGGAAAAAGAATTAATGAATGAGTTATTCTTCTGTGATTATAATAACCTCAATGATGAAGAAATGACAATTAAGAGATGTGGGCACACAGAGGACCTGATTTGAGAAAGAAAAGTTAACAGATACTGTAAGTCCACGGGGAAGAAATTTTTATGAAAAGGTAGAAATGTAATACCTCGATAATAGAATTAGGCCTAAAGAAGGGACTTAATTCCAATTTCACTGAGGTGAGAAAAAAATAACTATGTAAGAACATGGCTTCTGATGTGTTTCTGCTACCAAGAACAGCAGACAACGTGAAAGGCTCATCTTCTCTCTAAAGTAAATCTGAAGTGCATGCTCCAAGAGTGGACAGTTTTAGAAGAAAGCAAAATGGAGTCAAACTTGATAGGTGGAGAGGCTGGAGCGAGGACCTAAGTCCCTGGGACTCTGAAATGTGTCTCAAGCTAGGAAAGAGAAGTTCAGTCAAAATCTTATGACTTCAAGCAAACAGTGCAGACTGAGATTCCTCATTTCCACCCTCTCCCTAGCCCACGATGAAATTCATGCTTTAAAACTTGTAACATAAAAGCCTCAAGAACTTATCCCTCCGTGGCCTCTCACACCTGTAATCTATAGCTGTGGAGGGCAAGGGTGCCCATGTATCGCAGACCAACACAACACTGTATACTTAACCCAGTATTAGACATTTTTAAAAACTTTATTTTGGAACTCAACTATGCAGTTCTTGAATAAGAGCTTCGTAGATGGCAATGTTGTTCCACAGTATCTTAAGACTTGGCTGTACAAGCAAGGACAGTCTGTTCTACTCACATTCAAAACACTTCAGGTTCTGTGGAGTTTCGTAGCCTCTGACCTTCTTCCTGCCAAACTGTGCTTCATGAGGGCTGCAGAAGCAGTAACGCTTCCCAGGGCATGGCAGCCTGAGTAGAAATATTAGATTAATAAATAATCTATAAATGCAATAAATATTCACTTACAAATAAATACATTTTTAAGGCTATGGGATAGAGTTAACACATTTTCTCTTTCTTACTTATCTGCCACCTTTGTATTTCCCTTCAGATTACAGCTGAAGGACAGCTTCAGGGTTTGTTGTCAGCCCTCCCTCTCCGCTCCCTTTGTTTTCATGGCTCCTGCTGCAAATACCTGCATTTGTCACATTGAAACTTGTCCCTCTGCTGTCTTCCCGAGAACAATAACCAAGATGTATTTATATGTGATTCTTGAGAACAAAAAGTGCTTAATAGGTTTAAAAGATGGCCTAAAGTAGCTACAGTGCCTTTTGTTTGTATTAAAAGAATAACAAGAGAAAGGATAAGGAATGCAGACAGGAAGTGGAAGATAGTTCAAGAAAACTTCTTGCATTGTACAAATAAGAAAATAATGTGTTAATTATTGTCCCCCAGTGAATTTATATCTAGGGCACTGGTGAGTAACACAAAATATGGGGAAAACTATCACATGTGATGTAGTATCACAGGCATATTATATAACACATTTTTAAATAAAACACACACATTCATAATCCATTTGCATAAGAAAATTAAATTGTCCGTTGCACCGCCCCTGCCGCCGGCCGGGAGGAGCGGAAGCGGCCTTGCAGGGACGGACTTCCCGCGCCGCTGAGCCGCGGTGCAGGACGCCCGGAGGACCGGCGATCTCCATGCCCGTGTGGTGCTGCCGCTGCTCCCTGGCTGGGCATCTCAGAGACTATAGTGATACTGAAACGGAAGGAGAGATTTTCAATTCCTTAGTGCAATATTTTGGTGATAATTTGGGGCCAAAAGTTAAAGGGATGCCATTGGTTGAAGAAACTTCTTTACTCGAAGATTCATCAGTGACTTTACCTGTGGTAATAATTGGAAATGGACCTTCAGGAATACGCCTGTCGTATATGTTGTCAGGGTACAGACCATATTTATCACCGGAAGCCATGCATCCAAACTCAATCTTACACAGTAAGCTAGAGGAAGCAAGGCATCTCTCCATTGTTGACCAGGACTTAGAGTACCTATCTGAGGGTCTGGAGGGCCGGTCGTCCAATCCCGTGGCAGTGCTGTTTGACACGCTTCTTCACCCAGATGCGGACTTTGGGTATGACTACCCGTCTGTTCTACACTGGAAGCTGGAGCAGCACCATTATATCCCCCACTTAGTTCTGGGGAAGGGCCCGCCTGGTGGGGCGTGGCATAATATGGAAGGCTCTATGTTGACAATCAGCTTTGGAAATTGGATGGAGTTACCTGGACTTAAATTTAAAGATTGGATGTCAAGCAAACGAAGGTAAAAGACCACCTCACTGCCTCTACTTTACAGACTTGAATCTTAGAAGAAAAGATAGTCACTGTGCTCAGGAAACCCACCAAAACCAGGTCCATCCCTCTCTGGTGTGACCTAACCACAGAATGAAGCTTGTACACTACCTCAGTCTCTTGTACTAAGTGATATGGGACATGTTCTCACCACTGAAGTATTTCACTTTGGTCACATCAGTTTAGTAAAGCTTACATTACAAGATAACAGAAAAGGTTCCACTGACATGTCTACCATCTTCTAATGTAACATGAAAGTGAACATGGCAGAGTAATTACACGTGTAATTTCTGAAATGTTATGCAAGGAATTTGAATAATGCTTCAAAGGAAGTAGTACCATATATAGATATAGATACAGATATGTCCCCACCCAGGGGAACCAAGTAGCTAGTAAAAGGGAACTGTTTATCCTTAATGCAGTTTCAGAACCTTGGAAACTATGACTGTTGTAATAACTTATTAAGTAAGAAATACATTTAAAATATAATACATATGTATGTATATTATCATCTATCTATCTATCTATCTATCTATCCATCCATCCATCTATCTATCTATAATGAAAAACAAGATCACAAAGCCCCCAGAGACAATATTACCACACAAAAGGAATGGAATTTGTTCGCTTTATTTAGTAAGTTGAAACCTTAAAACATCTGTAATTTATATGTATTGCATTCATGTATCCCACCTGGCCTGAAATAAATGTTTGCTAAGAAAAAAAAAAAAGAAAATTAAATTGTGTCCAAAATGTTGTGATTCAGATATGCTGTCTTATGATGATCTAACTTAATGTAGAAATAGCATTTAAGGATATGGGGTTAATGTCTTATTATCTTTCTCTTTATAAAAAGTACCTTGAATTATTCTTTTTTTTTTTTAAGATTTATTTATTTAGGGCACCAAATCTCACTATAGATGGCTGTGAGCCACCATGTGGTTGCTGGGAATTGAACTCAGGACCTCCGGAAGAGCAGTCAGTGCTCTTAACCTCTGAGCCATCTCTACAGCCACTGAATTATTCTTTCACATGAAGTGGATATTAATTTTTTTGGACTATGTGATATGCTGCAATTCTAATATTTTAAAATAGTGATATAAATGTCTTTGTACAGAAAACAGTGAAAAGTGACTATATTTTGACTGGTTTTTGGAGATTGCCTTTTGTTTCTAGTTTTGTTCAGAGACAGTATTTCTCTTAATTGTATGGGGCACAAGTATATGATCACAAATAAATTGGACACATGTAAAACATACTATTTTTATATTTTTCTCCAGCTGGAGAGATGGTTCAAAGGTTAAGATGGCTAGAGTTGGGTTCCTAGCACCCCCAGCAGGTCACTCAGAATTGACTCTAGTCCAATGTCAAGAGATTCAATGCCTCTATGTCCAGCATTTGCACCTATATCAGGGTGCAAATACAGACAACCAGGAAGACACAAATTTTGAAAATATGAATAAAATATTAAAAAATTATTTTACATTGGTGAAATCTCAAAATTAAGTTCCATGACTATTTTAGGAACTACAACAAGATGCTAAAAATTTTTCATTTAAATATTAAATAATAGCAACTATACTGTAGTAATTTGGTAATAACTGGTATCTGTTAAGAATAAGTCAATGACTGAAATGAAAACCTGTTTGTATTTAACAATTGATAGCATCATATGACATTCATTCAGTAAACTACCTTCTTAAATGATAAGTATTGAGAGTAGGAGATATGGGTAGAGTCTAGCTATTTTTTTGCTTCCTATGTATAAATGTTATTAAAAACAGTTATCACAGACACTCTGATTAAAAACTACAAGTAACACTTAATGCCATGCATTTATTTTTTAATACTTGTTTTGATGTTACATACAATCTCTGAAATTATCTTTCTCTTATATATTATATTTAAATGTTATTTTTATATTAATTATATAAAGTGTTTTGTTAGGGCATTTCCGTACTTGTGTATAATGTGCATTGCCCCCAGCCACTTCTTTAATATGCATTGAAAATGAACCCTTAGATGTGTTTAGTAGAGCCCAGTATATTTAAACGAAGTTAAGTATGTGATCTACAGTAGAAAAATAATACCATTTCATCAATAGAAATAATGGTTGAAAAAATTAACTGGTTTTTCTTCTTATCCAATGTAACAAACATTTAAACTCACTTTATTGGAAGGACTTTTTTTTCTCTTGATTACTTCATTCACTTACAGAATTAATCAGGACTAATTGCATGAGGTGGGTGCTTAGTCCTATTTAGAGTTTTATAGAAGATAATAGAGAATTATGGCAAATGCTTCCTATTAATCAAATGGCTTTTCAGGGGTTTAACATGATAAACTACTAAATTAAAGAAAGTATATTCAACCAAATGTATAACAGGCCTATACTGTGGGTGAACAATAAACACCAGGATAGCCACATTAACTTAAACCTTTTTCTGTAAAGTTAGAACAAACAGCACCCATCAGTAGAAGTAAGTAAGAGAAAGCAGAAAGCAAAAAGTGGCAAATGTGAGAATCAGAACACACTAAAGTATGAGAATGGAGAACACTGTTCCAGGAGAGGGTTAAAAATGAAGAGCCAGAAGATGCAAATAAGAAACCTGAAATAGCGCAGTAGAAGGCCTGAACAGAGCACCACCAGAAAAAAAAATGTGGTATAAATTCCGCTAGATGCCAGAGGCATGGTAATGACAGGAGAAATTGACCTGACTTTTTGGCTTAAGATATTGTTGCAATTGCATGTTGAAAAATACTATCAATGCAGCCATCTCTATTCAAGCAAGAAATAAGGACTTCCTAATTTCTCACTTTGTATGTGTGCATAAAACAAATGATGCTAACAATTGCCTATCAATATACATAGATCTTGCCTGGAGTCAGATAATTTTCCAGCATTCTCATCTTTCCAAAGGATGTGAAACTTCAATGAATGAATCTATGTTACTGATTATAATAAAAATGCTATCTATATGCAACTGATAGCCAGATCTTAGAATAAGCCAAATTACAAATTAATTCACACAAACTTCTCAATTGCAAGTATCTATGGTAAAGATAAATATACATTTTAAGATGTGTCATTAAATTGTTTCTTAAAACAGCTAATATAGTTTATAGTTAAATAATCATGAGACAATTATGTGAAGACTTAAAGATGACAACTAGGTAATCATGATGGTAAATAATGTTTATGAAAATTGTGTTTATATAGTAATTTAGATGAAATGATATTAAATATAAATGGTGGATATTGCAAAACAAGAAGCCCGAATTTCAGTCATTATCTGTAATATAAAACAACTAAGGTCATTTAGCCTTTGATAGCTGGGAGTCAAGGAAGAGAAATCTATGATTTATATAGTTATTTCTAACTTTTATTTTAGAATTACGTAACATTAGATCCTTCAGGATGGCTAAGTTCATATATTCTGACATCTGATGCCTACTCAAGCATAAACCATCTCTCTGAGGATTAAAAATTGCTTTTAAAGGGTATTAACACAATCCATCATATGCACGTTGAAATTTTTACTGTAATAAAATAATAACGTGCTGAATCAGCTCTGCTGCCTCTAACGGCTCCCAAGGAGCTCTCTTTATTCTGTTGCACAAGTTCTAATTTTGTTGACCAAGGTAACCTAAAATAGGGATAAATGTCTTTTGACAGCAGGTTCTGTCTTAGGAACTAACATGGGAAATGCTAGGGGGCGAGTCTTTTTTTTTATTTATGAGCTTTTGGCATCGTCTCAGAAATATACCAGCTAAGAAACAGTTTGTATTATTCTTGGAGACAATAAGATAATTGGAGGCACCTATGTAAGAAGGTATTTAAATTTTAACACAGGTGGAAGCCATCTTTCAATAAATTATATTATCTTTTTTCTTGTAAAACAAGTATTTTCCCTTTAAATATTACCTAGCCACAATTAATTACAGCTCATCTTGTTTATTCTAAATCTTATTTTAACTCTGATTTGATTTAGATCGCTACTGTTTATATATGGGCATAAATATTTTTCATAGAAAATCTATTCAATAATAAAATAACAGAAATAAACAAAATAACTAAAATGTGAATTTAATGTACATATTGAATATTAGTTAATTAAGAAATTGCAAAGATGGTCACAGCAGGGTGTGTCTCCTAATGAGAAACGCTCTATTAAACTCTGGGACAATGTCATGCAATTTTTCATATAATAATATCACTGTTAGTTTTTTCTTCCTGTCACAAGACATCTAAAATAAATAACTTGGGAGAGGAACGATTTGTCTTGGTTTCTGATTTAAAATCTTCTGTGTAGGGTCACTTGACTTTGTGTTTGAAGACATGTGGTAAAGCAGAAACATGAGAGAGGGACAAGCTGGAAGAAAGCTACTCACCTCATGGTGGCTTGTAATCACAGAGAGATGGGGAGAGGAAGGGATTTGTACAAGCCATCTCTTTCTGCAGCGGACCCCAGTGACCCACTCCGTACATCCAGACTCGTATCTGTTAGTCTCTTTCCTCACCTTCCAGTAATTTCATCACATATGAGTCATTCATATATTAGGTCAAAATTCTAATGTTCATTTACTCACTTCCAGTAATTCATAACTCAGAACACTGCACTGAAAACTAAGTCATTGGCATAGATGCCATTGTGGGGCATTTCAGATCTAGCCTGGAACACTTATTAGTATATAATAATATGTGTTTCACTAAAGTAAATTATAACCTCAAATTCTTACAGGTTTGTAGCCTTCGCTATTTGTTAATTATAATTATAATGATCATATCTAAAAATTAGTACCAGTCTTAATATTTAACTAATCCATTTATCAGTATGTCAACAAGATCAATTCTCTTTTAGTTTAACCAAAATACTATGTTTTGCTTCCATATGAAAAAATGGAAGGGAAGTACTAAACGTGCTCTTGGGGGAAATATGCTACAGGATTGCTTTACATTGCAGACAAAGGCATAAAGAATTTGAGTACGGAGACGAAGAGAGAATACGAGATCCGGGTGGGAGAGTGGAAGAGAGTTAGGGGCAGAACACAGAAGCATATCTGTTGAAAAAGATGCACTTACATTTAAGTACATTGCAGTTTTTATTAATATACATTAAAATATGAAATTCAGGAAAGAAAAATGGTGAATGATAGAACAAAGAGTGAAGAAAAAGCAGAAACTAGATACGAAGAGGTGAAACAGAAGTAATAAAAGAGTGTGGGAGATAAACTAGAGTAGCTGGATAATGGGTGGACTCATTAGAAACAAAAGAATCCGCAGTGTAGAAATTAAAGTACCAAACGATAAAATGTTTGTGTGTAGAAATCTGTAAATATCCATTACATTTAAAAAGAAAATATAGAAATTCTTGAAGTAGTATATGAAAACAAGAAGAAAGGTAGAACAATAAAAATCCGCATAAGTTTATAGATGAATAAGCATACATTATTTTCACCTATAAAACTAAATGAATAGACCTTAAGACAAAAGAACTTTCACTATTATCGTGTAAATTGTATTCTTATAACATGATCTTTGTTTAGCATAGTAATGCAATATATCATTTCAATGCAGTTGGTGTTCTTAATTATCTCTATTCAAATATTGATAGCATCATCAAAAGACATAAAATTTAAACTCCGAGTTTATAGCCTGCCCCTGCTATTTTCTTGTTACATTACTTAGGGAAAATCACTTAAGCCCTATAACTATTC